GGTCGCTGAGGGGTGGGCAGGGAGGGGCTGGCCCCAGCCAAGCTGGGCTCCAGCGTGTGTGGCTGGTGTGTTTGCAGGTCGGTCCAGAACAAACCTGGTGAAGGTCGCCGTCCCCACCGTACCCCCCCAGGACACAGCTCTTCTCGCGCTGACCAGCAGTGCCCTGGTCATCATTGTACTGGTGCTCCTGGCGCTCTCCATCATCTACTGCAAGCGGTTCTGGAAGAGCCAGTGCCAGCGAGGTGAGCCAATGCCTGCGGTGCTTCTCCTCCCGCTCCCTTTGCTCTTCACACGTGCCCATGACCCCCTCCTCGCTGCGCAGAGCATCGCCCGTAGCATTGCTGCTCTTGTGGCACGCAGTGACCTGAACCTCCCTCTGCTCATACCAGATGAACACCTCATCCTGCTTGTTGCATCTGCAGGACCTCTCTCGTGCTTTGCCTGAGCAAAGACACGGAGGAGCCTCCCTCCTCCTTCGTGCCGCAGTTGGTGGGAGGAGAACGCCGTTTCGCAGTCGGAGCTGGCATGCTCTCTTCCTGGGGTTTCTCGGGGGTGGGCTGAGGTTGGGTGGCTTTCTGCAGGGCAGGACCCTAGGACTGGTGAGGGAAGAGGGCAGTCAGTGTGGTGGCTGGGCTTGGGGCGCGCTGGCATCCAGCAACATGCCAGGGAGCTGCTGGGTCCCGGCTCCTCGCTGGCAGACATACCACAGGGCTGAGGACATGCTGGGGAAGCAAGCCAAGCCTTTGCTCAGACTGGTTCTGCTCTATCCTCCAAGTCTTTCTGAGGACTCAGAACTTCTCGGGCCAACGAGCAATGTTCCCGACCGCAGCAGCGCCCGGCACATTTCTGTGTGAGGAGCAGATGTCTGGTCCCTGCTGCCTGGGCGTGAAGAACCTGAGCCCCTGCTACAGGCAGGCAGAAGGTACCTGCTCCTGCCTTGCTCTGGGGATGGGGAGGGTGGTGCTGGGCTCCAGCTCACACAGTCCTGGGGCTACTGAGATGCCCTTGGGGACAAAGGATGGAGCTGGATGGTGTCTGAGCCCCACTGAAATGAAGTTTGGGACCTCTCTTAATCCCTCGCAGACTCTGTACCAGAAATGGTCGCACGCAGCCCCTATGGCTCTGTGTTGGGTTTGCATGGCAAGGTTTTGGTAGTGAGGGGGCTGCAGGGGTGGCTTCTGTGAGAAGGTGCCAGAAGCTTCCACCACCACAGGCTCTGGAGCCCCCCAGCCCACTGCTGCCCTCCCTGCAACTGGGAGGGACCGACCATGCTCAGAACTTGGCGCAAGGCTCCAAGATGGCTTTGCTGGGCGGCGGTGCGGGGGACAGGGGCCTGGCCTCTGGCGGGGCGCTCCTGGCTCTGCCCACAGGCCCTGGGCCAGCGGGTTCAGCGGCGGGGCTGGGGACTCCGGAAGGGGCC